AAAAAATGTATACAATAAATGGAATAATATAATTTATAATTTATTTTAATAAAATATCAATTACTTTATTTTATTAAACATTTTAAATTTTATGATATAGAAATTTCCCTTCAGCTCGATTTCATTGCGATAGTATTAAAGCTAAATATCAAAATATCAAATCTTTATTTAGACTTTAAGCTATTTTGAAAAGAGTATATTCAGCAAATAAAAGAAAAATTAATTAATTAGATACTTGTTTTATATAGGATTATAACATCGATTTAAGAAATCAATTTATATTTATTTTGATAAATATATAAAATAATAGTACTACCTATAATAATATATATATTACTTATATAGTATACTCTAATAATTACTAAGATAATAATTAAATCTATTATTCCCAATCTTCAAAAAAAAAAAATACTTATCTTCAAATAGTTATTAGTATTTATAAAACAATATTTATCTATATACTATATATAAAAGTTCTTATAAAATCCTTGAATATTTATCTGAACAAGCTATAAGTTATAGTAAGATTTAAATTGAAAGGAATAAGTATATTGAAATTGATTTAGGAAGAATATAATAGGGCGTATAGAAGATATAGATTTATGGGAAAATCGAGGAGAATTTGTATTATTTTCGAAAAAGCAAAGCTCAAATAAGCTCTATTCAGACTGAAATATAATAAGGTTATTAGGGATTATAAACAAAAATACAAAACAAGAAAGAATAATAAACAAATCTCATATTGAATAAATATAATAATTCATTTTCAACTTGAAAATGTAAAAGATTAAACAATTATATAGAAAAACATTCTTTAAAATCATTACAAACCTAAAATACTTATTATCCTAGATTATTGAATTAATAGAAATTAGCTTAAGGTGTATGATAATTTTAAAAAAGAAATTAGTTTAATGATATTAGACATTAGAACGGAAAATATAGACCTGAAAGGTTTCTTTGTAAAACAAAGAGTGCCCGGATATATATCGGAGTGTATATAATATAGATAAAGAAATTAGATTATTAATTGTATTATCTTTTACTATATAGATATAATATTATAACAATAGAGACTGTAAATTCAAACGTAATGAATATATAACTTCATATAGAACTCGAGATTACTTAAAGAAGTAATTATATAGCTTATTAAAACAGAACTATTTCCCTAATATATGTTTTTATTAGGAATATTAATATATAAATATTAAAAACATAGGTCAAAACCATAAAATTAACTGTAGAAATATAGTAATATTAATAAAACCTTATTAAATCTTAAACTTCATCCTTAAAGAATCGAGATACAACTTCTATATTAGTTTTATTATTATTATTAACATTCTTCTCCTGAAGACCATACTATATTAATCAATAATAAGAACGAAAAGAATATAAAAAACAATTTACAGTAGTATAATACATATCAACGAATTAGATGAAAAAGAATATAATAGATTTTATAACCTTAATCTATTACACTCATATAATAGCTTTAATAATAATAAAAGTATAGTATAACCTTTCAACTATGATATATATAGTAGTCTTAAATATGTTAAAGAAATTATAATACTTAGAAGGAATCTTAATAGGTTAATCGATATTAATAATACTAATAATAATAGGTAACTTTTTATAAATATAAAGGTTATAAATGGTTATAAAGACATTAAGATTCTAATCAACATTATAAATATCAGGATTACCTATAACCCTTTATATATTTTTCTTATAAACAATAATAATATACAAAACTATTATTATAATATTTATACAATTTATAAGAATTTATACTAACAAATGTTTTTTTAACAGGGAACTTTTAAAGCTAAAATTCAGAGATAAGATATTCATATTATGATATACATCTTTTCTAATATAATAATAAGGGTATTTCGTATAAATATAAATATAGATTATAACAAGATTATAAGTAAATTAATATAAACATTTAATACTGTCGGAACGTATAATCACGTGCTTAAGCGAATCATATGATTCTTCCTATTATATATATAATGAGAAGAATTATATCTTATTTTAGAACATCTTAATTTATATTATTCATTTTATATAGGCTATATAGTACTGTATATAGTAATTCGAGTTGACGTCTCCCCCCCTCTAAGTGTTACGGGAGCTGCCTCTAGGGTCACGTGGAAGTGGCTAGAGATCTCTCGAAATGGTTTAGATTAAACTTTAAGTAGGAATTCAATAAGGTTGTAATTAATTACAATTCTCATAATTATAGTAATAAAACTAATGATTATTCTTGAGTATAAAGCTCTACATATAAAGAAACCCTATTCCTTATATAAACCTTCGTTTTTTATAGTATTATAAGGTTCTGTTCTACTTGAATCCTTTGGATCTTATAAATCTAAACATTTATTCTTCGATCCCCTAGATCCTCTAGGTCCATCATGTGACCGTTTGGCCATGTGACGCGGTATGTTGGATACCGTCATAACACTAAGTGATCTCAATAAATACAATAGTTACGAAATAAGTATATAATAAAACGAAAATAAAAAAGAAACCTTTAGACATCTATTCTCTTCTTAAAAGATATTTTAAAGGGGTACTATTTCAAAAACAATAAAATAATATTCGAATTAATAAAGATAAAGGAATAATAAGGTAGATATAAAATAAAGTATAATAGAATATCTAAGAGAATATAAAAGGATTTATATTTTATTATAAAGAATAAAATAAATTATAAATAAAAGATTAGGGAAGGTAAATAAAAAAGAAAAGAATAAAGAAAATAAAAAGTAAATAAAGAAATATAATTGCTATAAAATAAAGATAAATAATTATAAAGTTATATTATAGTAATAATAATATTAATAATAATAAAAATTGTTATGTTATAAAAGAGGAGAAAGGGGGGTTTATATTATTATATTAAATAAAAATAGGCTATATATTATTAATTTATAAAATGGAAACAAAATAATTATAATGATATTGTCTTCAAAAGTATAGATATTATAGATTATAAGTATTAGATAGAATAGGTATACAATATAGACAACTCAATAGAACATTAAAAGGAAATAGGTTTTTATATCTTTTTCTTATTTATTTTATTCAATTAGATATAGATACAGGCGTATCGCATGGTTTTAGTATAGCTATATAGATCGAATCGATTATGAATTTACTATTACTACTAGCTAATATATTAACTCTAATATCGAAAACAAGTCGATTCGAACGAGCTCTTACTTCTTTATTAATCTCTATATAAGTAAAAAGTTATTAGATATACTAGATTAGTAAATCATATTCTATAGTATTAAAAGATTTCTTTTTAAACTATAAGAGTATTTTATAAAAGTATCTTTTTCATTCTCTTTTTAATTTCTCCTTTTTAATCTTCTTTTTTAATCTTCTTATTAATATTATTATAAGAATAATAAAGTTAATATAGTACTATAGTATCGAAAGACGCTAGCGTCAACGCTAGCGTAGTCACATGATCCCTGTCTCAATACTTCTTTTTTATAGTTTATTTTCAGTCTTAAAGAAATATAACTATTAGAATAAAACTATATATTTATATAAATTATAGAAAAGTAAATAACGAGATTAAGATAATAATAATATTTAAAATAAACCTAGATTATAAAGTATTATATAGTTTATAAGACTATGTTTTATTTTGTTCTAAGATAGATTTTGTACTTATAAGATACCATCACCTGACTCAATGAATACGGTACCTAGAAATAACAGTAGATCCATGCTGATTGATCTCGTCAGGATCTTGAAAGACCGAAAGGCCGAGATGAATTTTCATTAGGGCCAGTCCTCCACCATGCGATGTTTGAACATACTTGGTCGTTCTATGAGTCTGGATTCTGCCCACCGCAAAAAATTTCAAGGCAACCACTGTTTTCTTGTCATGAAATCCCGGAGGATTTTCATTGCGTCTGCCTTGAGATGGCCTTCCGCATATGCAGTCATGGAAAGTATGCAATTCTTTCATGTAAATTTCCCAAATACCACCTACATCAAGCTATGCTTGCTGCCAAGCATGTCATATCGAGTTTCCCCTTTACATTACCTTATTTTCATGTGCCGTAATGCCCCGGTAAATGCATTGGAATAAATAAGCATAATATAAGCACCCCTTAGCATCAATCCTCAATTGCATCATTGAATGCTTGAGTCTTGTCTCAATTTCACCGAGTGTTTCCCACCAAGTTGCTACGGATTCCCACGCTATCAAACAATCAACGTCTTATCACCTAACTTCAACCCGTGTTCAGATGATATTCATCTATCTAGAGCATCGCAACGGCCATATTAAACAACGGAGCAATTGACAGATGCTCGATATTCGGAGTGAGGGTCTGACTGAATTATCTTCGGTACAATGGCGAGCGAACCTTTCCTTGGTGTAAACTGCAAAAGACGATAACTCAATTTGGAAATGCAAAATATAATCCACGGATGTTAACGAGAACTTGCAACTACCCAACGCAGTCATGAACGCTACATTCTTCGATTGCCTGAAAGTTTCAAATGCCACTTGGGCATATTTACCTTACTTTCTACAGTCTGCCGTGAATGAAAGATGCTAAGTACAGGTTTCGAGATCAAACCCCAGAATCTGATTAGCTTTGTCTCCAAATTCGCAAATTGATGGGAATCTCCTACAGAAACAATCGGAGCGAGCGGTAAGTTGCTGCTTGTGACGGTCCAGTTTAGTACAGTCTGTATCAAAGTCAAATGGAAGAAAGAATTTGACCCGCAAGGAATCTAAAGAATAGACTGTACATTGATTAAGTCTAGATTTTCCCAGCTCGTACCATTTTGTTTCTTTTTCATCCACGAAAACACCATTTTATCGTGTTTCCGAAGCCTACTTACAGTTTAGACATTCTTCTCAGTGTCTAAATACATGAGTCAACAGATAATCTGATCTCCTCAGGTCATCCTCGTCAGCTCAAACTCTGCCTTCGACAGGTAAGCCACTACTTTTATAGCTCCTCCTTCTTCCTACTTTCTTTGACTTCTGTAACCTTTCCCATATCCCTCAGTCCTCTCTTGACAACACTCGTCAACATTTCGAAAACCACCTGCGCACCACTGAGTGCCGTTTCTTCCCCTGCTCCATCATAGCTCGGACTAACCTCCACGACATCCTAAAAATCCAAGAATTAGTATTCGTAATCAATGGGAATGCTATGATTGGAAAAGGCGTAGTTCAAGTTTTGAAGTAAAATTCGATGATGGGTGGCAGGACATGCAACAGCACTGAAAAGAACGCTGTTTGCGATTCGCCAATGCTTGAAATCAACTCAAGAGTTTAATTGATACAGGAATCAGACGTTATCTTGTTGTAGGCGTTTGGTACCCAATTTGGTAACTTGTTGGGTGCACGAAATAAGAATCGAAAAACTTGACAATACTCACCGCACCCACGACATTCAATCCCTCTATTCCCCTTAATATTCTAATCAGCTCCCTCATCGTCCATCCACCAGGTTCAGGCGTGCCTGTTCCTGGTGCTACGCCGGGATCCAAAACGTCAATATCAATACTAAGATAAACCGGAACTTCCGTTCCAATTCTCTCCATAATTTTCTTTACCACGCCTTGAGGTCTAAGATCATCAATATCATCCGCGGAGATTCTTAAAAAGCCTTGTCTATCATCATCCTTATAATCCGCGTAATTATCACCACTTAGTCGTGTTCTCAATCCCGCATGGACACTACTACCGTTCATGATTAATCCTTCATTTGAAGCGAGCCAGAACATGCTCCCATGGTTGAATTGCGCTTGCATACTTGCCCATGGATCTGGATATTTAGCTGGGTGCCATGTATCAAGATGAGCATCAAAGTGAAGGACGGCGATTGGTTGCTTGTAGACCTGACGAAGAGCCCGAAGAGCTGCCAGTGCTAGACTATGGTCACCCCCTAGGGAAATAATCTTTGGATGGGTAAGTGATGATGAGGAGGGCTTCCGGTTTAGTAGTTCGGTATAAGCTGCCGTCATTTGATCTAATGCCACGGCATTATCCAAGGGAGTTACTGGGATATCTCCGCAATCAAGAATGCGAGCAAACGATGTGTATGGATTTATTCCAGCTCTCGTATTAACTGGCAGAAATGTTTAGCTCTTTAGTTTTGGAAAAAGTGTATTCCCCATCCATTACTATTTCGTTCGTGGGTTAACGGATCAAGCGCACTAGAACTTACATCCTCTAAAGCTAGTTTGTCTAGCACTAGCGGCTCGAATAGCTTTGGGTCCGAATCTTGCCCCTGGCCGATAGCTGACTGCCGTGTCGAATGGAACACCTAGAATCCCTATATCGAAAAGTTCCTCGGGGGTAGTGAGGCATTTCTTGTATTCAAGATGGGCAAATGTCGAAATTCCTGAGAAAGACCACTGCTTGCAAGGGTTTATTAATCATTATGTGATGAGTTTACGATTTTGAATGATGATGACTAGATGTGGATTGGATAGAAGAGTATGAATGTGGAAAAATTGCACCTCCTATTCATTCTCTCATTCCATTGCTATAACCACATGCCTCGGACACAGGATTGTACACAGGATTGGGGAAATCTAGATCCTACGGTATATGCCACTGGGCATATATCCTTTCGTAAGAGTCTTATAATCAAGTCACCAATCCATAATACAAGAATGTAGATCCGTCACTATCACGGTTCCTTGATTATTTACCATAAATCTTTCGAAATTATGTCTCCCTCCTGTACCAACATGCTTACAACAAAAGTTTAGAACAACAAAAATGACTGACCTCAAACCCCCAAAGTCTCTCCAATTCTTGCTTTTCTTCCTTACTCACACTTCCATCGACCTTTCCAAGTCCCAATCTCTCTACATTCAAATGTTGCTGTGCAATTTCATCATGCTGATGCCCCACCACAAAAGTTGGTAGGAAAACCCCACATGCTGCCAATAATGACAGTGACTTGAAGATGGAGAGCTTCATTTCTTTTTTAAACCTTTCAAGATTTTTGTGTTCGCATGTCCAAACGGTCGAAGGAAGGAGACGGGGAACACAAAAGATCTATGGTGGGGAGCCTCCTGCTGTTGTCTTGATATAGGAACGAAAATGATCATCTCTCTAAGAGCTCAAGTTCCATCGTAGATAACACGCCCTCTCGATTGTCTTGCTGGAGGGTGACTTTGATAAGCTCTATCGGGTATCTTTGCCATTGATTACAAATCGTTACATAAGTAATTGATAAGTTTTACAATGAAAATGTTCCCCGCGATGAGCCAGCTAACAATTCGGCTCGGTACTTCGAACGGTCTGTCTAATAAGTTTGTCTGTCCACTTGTCCACTAATATCGGAACCTCGAGCCTATCATGATTGTCCCTTATCTTCAAGCTCCGAGTCGAGACTTTTTGTTCGCGCATTGAAGCTCCAATTTATTGATTTACTTTACAAACGGTTCCACATGTAAACCACAGCCATGCCATGCTATCTATGTTATGCTTGTGAGATGAAGATTGTCAGTAGAATATAGCGTCAACTCAAACCAACCAACGTTACAGGAATTCGAAAGGTGGTGAACATCATTCGATTCCATAAATCTAATTCAGCTCATCCGAAAAACCTGTAGACATAACGCCATGTCTTTCTTATGTGAATCGAGCTCGAGAAATCATATATTCCCCCCTGCTTGACGGACGACGCCACGACGCTCCCTGCCGCTGTGTCCTTTCACAGGTTCAAGGATCTCGAATCCGACACAAGCTAAGAATTGTATATTTTAGCTCACAATAAGATGTATCAAGGTATCAAAATTCTGTATATTGCACTCCTGCTCCCTACGCTTTACCTACAAAACACCCCAGCCCACACGCCATATAGAAAAAGATGTAATCAAAGCAGACTTTCTGGGAATCGATTCTTCGGATCAAAGTAACAAGAGAGGACTGTAAAAAGAAAAGAAAAAAAGCTTTCGCACGTCAACCCGTTTCTCTACCTCCCTTCGTTCCCACAACCTCAAAGTCCTGCCCCGGGAAATCGATTGAGAAAATTGATACTCCAAGTTTTGTCCACATTTTGTCCACATATAATCTCCCTCGATGTGGAAGCACTGTATCATCCCTCGAGTCTTTTCGCTACTCTTCCCCTAAAGATTTCCTTGCCGTTTCAAAATGACGCATCATACCCCCATTTCTGAATTGAAGGCGCAAGAAGATGACGATTCTTGACCAGTCCGGTGATGTGTGAATATGTAACGTAACTTTCGATTTCCTCCACGGTGATACAACACTAGGATATTCCGAACTTATGTAATTGCTCGAAGAGGATATGGACAATGAGATTCAAAAGAATAAATGGGGAAGGTGACGGTGAAGAGCGGTACGAAAGAAGGTAAGGTAGAATGTTAATTGTTTGGTCTATGTAAAACAATTGAATTAAAGAATTAAACATTTATGTTGTTTCTTCTTTGGCGCAGGAGGTTCTAATGCCGCAACAATCGCCTACTCATAATTAGCATTTTCCCTTTTTTCATGAATACCTCGATAGAAGGTGTGCCGCATCCCAGAATCAAGGAATACATACTTCGTCGAAAACATCCTTCAACTTGTATTGAGTCAGAGCACTACACTCAACGTACTTAACAGCCCCCAAGTCCTTGGCCATCCTCTCACCATCACTCTTTTCGACCGGCTTCATCTTTTGTTTTGTAAGCTTTTCTTTGACACTGGGATCATCTCTCAAATCGGTCTGTGTGCCAACGATTAAACAAGGTACGCCGGGGCAGTGATGGTGAACTTCTGGGAACCATTTCTCTCGTACGTTCTCGAATGATGCGGGCGAGGTTACCGAAAAGCAAACGAGGAAGACATCGGTTTGTGGATATGAAAGAGGTCGAAGTCTGTCATAATCTTCTTGTCCGGCGGTATCAAATAGACCGAGTGTATATGGTTCATCCCCGATCCTAGTAAATTCATGATCAGAACAATATCCTGTCGCTGTATATGTATTGAAGAGATGGGAGAAATGAAGTTGAGAAATGACGGTGTAAATCAAACTCACATAACTGTGACGGCATAGTTATCGAAGACTGTAGGAACATATTCGGAAGGGAATTTATTCGTAGTATAAGATATAAGTAAACACGTCTTTCCGACAGCACCGTCACCGACGACGACACATCTATTGATCGATATTACATGTTAGCTATGATTGGAGTCATTGAAATAAGGTAATTCTCCGAGATCATTCTTCAATCCATGCCACAACAACAGCTTCATCATGATCATCAATCCCCCAATGAAGCTACGTAATAGCAGATGTCCAAGAGCAAGACAACGGAAAGGAAGAAGGAATTATGAAGGAGATACGAACTTTATCGTTGCGACGACCATTGTTCCGTTTGTCTAGAGACAACAATAACCCGTTCTTGATTATCTGGGGGAGAATCGTTCTTTCAAGTCCACTTTCTCCCGAAATCAATTCAACAAATGTAAGAAGTTGTTCGATGGTTGTATCGAGTTGCGCTCGGTCTGTAGGAATTGATTGTATGCAAAATGACGTTCGATAAGAGTGGTGGTGATATTTGATTGAGAGAGGGTGGTTGAATGTGATGTGTGCGAAATGAAGGATTGGAAAGATTGAATTAAATTGAACTGACTGAAAGTAGGGGTTGAGGTTGAATGAAAATGCACGAGAACGAGTTGAATGAGATTGATCCAGGAAAGTAATAATAATGCATGCAATATGCGCAAACGATTTCCAATCTTTTTGATAATATTCGAGGTCTGAATTATCAGGCAGAAAATGTGACGAGACAAGACATGCTCGAGCGAGACGAGACAACAATAATAAGATGGGGATGGGGATGGGGATGGGATGGGATAGGATAGGATAGGATAGGATAGGATAGGATGGAGATGAGATGGAATGGGATGAGGATAATGATTGAACTCCTTGTAATTTTCTCCCCTTTCTCACTAGGTCAGTACTCGAGTAGGGACTCTCTCTTGTTAGCTTATTATCAGTATTTATCATTATGATTTCCTGTAGTTGTGTGGTTCGTGTATTTTAAAATTTCCTAGATTTTAATGGTTTGGCGATGCAAGTAGGGTGTTTTGGTGGTTCGGTGGTTCGGTGGTTCGGTGGTTCGGTGGTTTATGCTCCTTTTTGATTCATTACTTTATATTCTATTCGAGTAGTGTAGGTACTTATTAGATGGAGGTAGCGCTGTATGGGTGTTGTTGCGTTGTATTGTACTGGCTTGATTCTTGTAACTGTGTATTAATACCTATGCCATTAGTTGCCAACACTTGACGGGAAGGTTGGGGCGTTGGAAAGACAGCGACTGAACAAATCAAAATTGGATTTATCAAGGTTATTTTCTCATTGACTTTGTTCACACGGTGAGTTAAAGGGATGAATAAATAAATGGGTATCTAGCTAGGGATATTACAGAGTAGGTATCGGTGTACCTTTCCCCCTCTGAGATGCTCTTGATCTGGCTCGCTATTGCTCTAGTTGCCGTTCCTGCTGCGGTTTCTTCCCTTTCCTGTCCAATTGGAAGAAAGTATAAAGCAATTTGGTGCAATAAGGTCTTTCAACTCCTCCCAAGCAAACGGAAACCTATTGACTATCTGCTGAAAATCAAACTCTAGCAGCTTGCTCATACCCAGCATTCAACACATTATTCCAATGGGCCAGGTACTCAGCGCATGAAAGGATTCAGGTAGGGCAAAACAAGCAAGGTGGGTAAAGGAGGGAAAGGAATGGCAAGCCTAGATTGAGGCAGGCCATGCTGGCAGGGTAGGTAAGGGTCTGAAGCAGAGAGAGAGGGCGGGATGGGATATCAGAGCGAAATATTGATTATCTACGAAGTACATATCAATGCGACAGAACCATTGATTACCACCAATGCCCTTCCTTACACCTGCAACTAATAAGTTACAGCCGTGACAAGTCGATGATGAGTCGGTAGGTAATAGGCAGTGGTAAAGTAGGTAGTAAAAGAAAGTAGATGGCATTAAACGTCTAGGGTTCTCTTTTCTAAATTTCAATGCGAAGTACAAAGTATTACACTACCAAGGCTTGGAAAGGGAAGAGGAAAATAATGATAGCAGCTGACAGCTTTATCAAAAACATGAAATTCTCAATGCTCTCCATGCTCTCAATGCTCTCCATGCTCTCAATGCTCTCAATGCTCTCCATGCTCTCCATGCTCTCCATGCTCTCCTTCTCTAACTAGTGCGAGCTTCCACGGCAGTGGTCCAGCGGAGTGTTTTCAGTCTCGAAAAGAGTCTTGAATGTAAGTACAATGTAAATAGAACGAGAATGGTAAAGTTTAATTGCAGTGATGCTCTGTGGATTGGATAGAGTTACTACCCACCTGCATGCAGGCATATTATACCTTGGAGAAGATTTTCAAACGTTGAACTAAAATAAAATCAATCATTCATTCCTAGGTTAACTAGTCATAGGAATTAAATACCATCATCAATCATGGCCAATTATTACCAATCATCACAATCATTACAATTATTACAATCATTATAATCATCACTCAATCATCACTCAATCATCACCCAATCATCACTTTGTGGTGCCCTATTTTGTAAAACACAACACAACACATCATCAATATCTTCATTTCTTCCCCTTTGGACTTACTTCGCATTCCTGCCCAGGTACCCAGTAAGAACTCGCGTAGACAATCAATCGACCGAATTTCCTTATTAAGCAGTCTCTAATTAATTATCTACGGAGGATTCTCCACCTTCCACGAGTTTTCTTCTTTTCTTCCATGATCCTTGATGAAATCCTAGCAGTTGGCTCGCTGGCACTCCACCTCGCAATTCAAATCATAATCATAACTTACCTCGACTCTCGAGAGTACCTTCGTACTTCGTAGTAATTATTACCTTATCTTTACTGGTACGTACCGGTAACTGAGTCTTACAACAACACAGACTACTTACTACTCCTCCATGCTAGCTAGGTCGCTAGGTCGCTAGGTCGCTAGGTCGCTAGGTAGCTATTCTTCCCAGACTCCTTCGAGAATCACGATCCAAATATCGAAATTTCGCCCTGAAATCATATCCGACGCAACGCACAACGCACAACACACAACACACAACGCACTACACACTACACACTACACACTACGCATAACTCACTACGATATCTTAATTTGATCTTTGCCCCTTGCAATAAAGTCTAATTCACTAAACTCGGACTTCACCATGTCTATCTCTATCTCTCCCGTTCAAGAACTTAGCCTGGAAATTGATCATCTGTTTGAACAATACCTTCAACTTTTGCATCAATACAGTGCTTTAAGATCTAAGCTCTCCACATTGTCGTCATCTGTTAGTTGTAAATCTCTTCTTGCAAGATCATGTCGTTCAATATATTCACCATACATCTTGATGATTGAACCCCTCATCCCTCTTACCCCTCATTGATCATTAGCACAGTCCCGTATCCTCTCTTCATTCCCAGGTGATGATCAGGAAATCCAGTTTACTACCTAGGTACTCATACTAATACGAACGACAACAGATGTACATTAATTTGTCCCGAGCCAATTTTACGCCGCAGAATGGAATCCGTTATGATACCTCGTTCTACGATGATCGTATTCAAGCACAGAGGTTATGCAATGTAACGATCCCCGAAAACGCCTCGAATACACAATCGACAAATTTTACCCCTCCTCCTCTGTTCGCCATTAACGAAGCTTCTACTTCGGAATCGAAATCGGACCTTTTGAACAAAGATACAAATGGAGATGATGGCACGAAAACTGCTTCCAAGAAGGACCCATTGAGAATGTTTGGGCTTTTCACCCCTCAGGCTTTGAAGGATACAAAGGAAGATAGCATCAAGATGATGGATGTCATTCCGAAATTGGTGAATACCGAGAAAGCCATGGAAGATCTCGAAATTCGCATACGAAGAGCTAGGAAGTACAGACGGAAGGCAGAAAGTGAGGAACAAAAGAATTTACCAGCGGAAGCCGATCGCAAGTCCATCAATCCTATTTGAAAAGTTACAGTACGACAGTACAATTCGACATCACATACTCGGCGATCAGATAATACTGTACGTTTGTGGGACGGCAAAAGATGATGCGCAGTAAACTTATCCAATTCCATGCGCATTTCTCTGTAGGCAACGAATATGGGAATAACGGGACAAGGATAGATGTGAGAGCCTGCTAGAAAATTGGAGACGCAATATGTTGTGGTTGTGCTCGGGATGACGTGCAGATTTTGTTGCAGGTGGTTTGGAAGACGGGATGAGAATTTAACTTCCTCTCATGAGCTGGTCGTACTCCTGATAGGCGGCCAGTTGCGAATTATGAGTTCTCAATGTTTCTTTGATTGTTCTTGACATTCGAGAAACCCTTCAATACCATGCACGTATTCGAGTTTTCTAATTGAAGATGGAAATGCCCTCGCCTCACTCATACCTACACCATTCTGACATCCAAAAATAAATTATTATCCTACTACCTACACGTGGTACAACATTTGCCAAGCCACGTGGTCATTCTGACAATTTGCCTTTTCGAGGCTGTCCGCACGTATATCTATGTCGTGATGTCCCGTTCAAGACACGATTCCATCTGTCTCCATGCCGTTTTCGTTCGACACCGATTCCTAAATTGGAAAGCTGGCTGGAGAATTAGAGCGATACTACCGGATGAGATTCCGGTATAGCTGGTGTGGTGTAGCTGTGGCAGATAGAGGCTTTTCGGCTAGCTGAAGGATTGGAGTGGGGGCCGGAAATATATGGACGTGTGTACAGGTGGCATTACCAGATCATTGACGGGATAGATGTATTTGTGTACAAGATCATCCAGTCCGTTGGTAGGTAGTGACGGGGAATTTGTTTCGTCGTTCTCGCATGGGATGCTCGAAAGTCGGGCCGGTCTACGTACATTCGTACAACCTTTTTTTACCCACAGGTCCGAGAATGTAAGTCGATGGCCAATAATGCTAGTGCCCCATGGTCTGCAATCAATCACGGGATGACTAAGTTTTCGTCGTGACTTGAGCGTTTGAGTATCTACCCTTGTTATGTCATTTCCATTTCAATAGTCGACACTGTCAGATTATCAGTTTCAAAGAGATGACTAGATCAAAAGGAGGACTAGTTTATGAAACTTAGACTATTTATTCTTTCTACTTATCGTATAACGTCGTTTCTGTTCTCCATGTCCACTTTCGTCAAAATTGCAAAACCTGGTGGTTCAAGGGGCAACGAGTAGGCTGCCACTCCTTCCCTCCCTTCCTTGATGAGGCACATGTCTGCTGTTGCAAGTTTCTTCCTCAGGTTTCAGTCCCAGTTTATAGGGCCTTTATTTTGAATTCTACCCTGAAATCTTGGTCGGGTCATGGAACGTGGGTTGATATTCTAGTGGGGGGATGGAAATAAAATAGTCTCGAAATTCAGCCCCTTGGACTGAAAGGGAGTAAGTAGTTCAACAATAGACACTGCTAACTGTATTTTAAATATAATGTTGACGAATTGGATGGATTGAAAGGATGTGATTTGACATGGTATTCCTACTGTCTGTCTCTCCCCGTACTACACACATGCATGAACCGATGACCCCCAAATATTGACAAATTTCCAAACATTGGAAATATTTTGAAGTTTCTCCACCATTCCAGACGTTCTAGAGATTACAATTCTCCTCAAAAATTGCAAGAGATTGACATATTCACAGCTTTCAGCAATTCATTATTTCTTAGTAGAATGCAGTTCATACACCGACTTGCGCCAATGGAGACAAGTCAGTACACCCAGCAACACGGACACTGACTTTTTTTATCATGATCTAAATCTTACAGATGTATTCCTACCCTTAGATTCTGTGAGAAGTCTGGATTGCTCTATTTCCATGTCAAACAAAGTTCCTGAAATATCGATAATCGTACAATTCGAAGGTCTAATAAAATCTGGTCGTTGTGTATATATAGCGCTGTGTATATATAGCCTCGAGATTGACTCAGCATAATTGACGTCCCTCTACTCCCGAGAAATCCTAATCCTCCTGTCGACCCGTTTCTTTTATATAATACTGATAATCGGTGTTTCCGCCCGAAGAAAGTTTTGTGCATAGAACTTGATTCTCTCCAGACTCAAAAGTCTATTTGGCTTTCTGTCCCGATTACGATGGCACTGCAATTGGCACTTCTCCGGATCTTTGCTTGAACAATCATATCCACACACATGACTCGATGGCTTAATCTCATCCTCTGCTTTTCTCATGTTATAGTTTGTAACACGGCTCCGGAGTCTGACTTCTTCATTACAAAAGTCAGATCGGGACACCCATATTTCTTATTGTGTGCAAAACTTTGGAAATATGTCCGTTCTTCCGATGTCAAGCACCTTAAACTAGAGATATCTAATCTATTTTCCCATTGTCCTGCTGACATAATTCGATTGAGGTGCTGTACAACCTCATCGTTGTCAAGAATTGCGCGGGATTCTGCACAGTTTCGAAGAGGGAGCATACATAGATCTAGAATCCGTTCTGATCTGTCTTCAGGAGAGGTTGCTAGAAGCTCAAGCAAAACTATCGACCGCATCTTGGAAACATTGTCTCGATTCCAATAATAGCCAATCATGATTCCACTTCACGTCAATGCTAATATGACGACGCCTAAGCACCAAATTGTAGTAGCTCTTGAAGGTTCTTGACGGCACCACTTAGACATCTTTGACTCCTAGTAACTGTATCTTTGTGTTCAAGACTCGAGTTCTTGATATTTTTTTGTGTCTGTTTGGCCGGTTAACAGTTTTAAGTTAGCCACTACCTCATAAAAAGATTAACCGCAAATCTCTCACATACAAAAGAAGGTACTAGGCTGAATAGGCATAATATATCATAAACTCGACGCCAAAGCCCTAAGGGGTATAACTAGTCCAATGGTAACCATGTCCATTCTTTATAAAATTCGTTTTTCTCATGCTGTTTTCTGATGACCATGAACACGAATTTGGAAAGATTTTTTGACAAACATGGAAGCAGGAATTCATTGTATAAACCATTTATACTGATAGTATATTGGACTTCTCTTGCGTCATACATCCGAAGGCATTAAATGACGTAACCAGGCTGTAGAAGAAGGTGCTAGCCTGAACAGGCATATAATGTATTATAAGCTCGACGCCAGAGCCCTAAGGGGTATGGCTGGTCCAATGGTAACTATGTCCATTCTTTATAAAATCCATTCTTCTGCTGTCTTCAAAGCCTTGGCTAATGAAATTTTCGCAGGAATGATGCTGATCATCAAAAGTTCGAAGAACTTGAAGGTCTCGTCTTACTACTGTACATAAGCATATAACCATGGTCCACGAGCTGATTTGGAGTCTTTCCCCGAAGACAAAGACTAAAATAATTAATTTTTCATAATTATCTACTAAAAAAATCAAAAGTTGACTAAGAGGCAAAAGAAATTTCCTTTAGAATGTTGGCATTCGAAAAGTAAACCTGTCCTTCTCCATCCCAGGGCTACTATGTCAGAAAATATTGGTCGTTTGGTGTCAAAAGCTAGACTAGAGTCACTCGACTATATGTAATGTAATAAAGATTCCCTGTTTTGGACAAACATGATAACCAGCCTGACATGATACGCCCGCTAGTCCTCCGGTCATTACAATCTTCACAAGTGGCAACCAAATTGATCATCGTAACAACGATTCCGGCTAGGCTGCGCAACGGGTACCCGCAGGGCGGATAATAACCTTGGTGGGTAACCTACAGATTATTCATCGTGAGGCGGATAATTCAAAAATCTGAATGAATAATCTATAGGGTGGGTATAAATTACTTATAGATATTTTGTTACGGGAGCTGCCTCTAGGGTCACGTGGAAGTGGCTAGAGATCTCTCGAGGTGGTTTAGACTAGACTTCAAGTAGGAATTCAATAAGGTTGTAACTGGTTGCAATTCTCGTAACTATAGTAATGAAACTAATGATTGTTCTTGAGCACGAAGCTCTACATTGTAATGAAACCCATTCCCTTATATAGACCTTCGTTCTCTGTGCTCAGTCGGATCACAAATGATCCTTCTGATCCGATCAACTGGATCACTAATGATCCCTCTGATCCGGTTACCTAAGCGTCGGGGTCACGTGACGTCTATTGTGGCAGACCATCGTAACAATTATAGAACTAAATAGTTAAATAAAATCGAAATAATAGATATGATAATGTTAGAATGCTATTGTTTTAATGATATACACTTTATATTAAAGAATTACTACCTTCTTCAATTATAATTAATAATGTATTGTTTACTATATGAGGTAGTATTGAAATCGATATTTCATAATAATATTATTGTTACGACGGATAACAAGAACTACAGGATTAGCATCACGTGACCATAAAAGCCGACAATCGAAATCGACTTTCGACTTTCGACTTTCGAAACTCGACCATCGGCTTTCGACAATCGACTCAAGAGTTAACAGAGCAGGAAGGTCTATATAAGGGAACAGGATTTCATTACAATGTAGAGCTTCGTGCTCAAGAACAATCATTAGTTTCATTACTATAGTTACGAGAATTGCAACCAGTTACAACCTTATTGAATTCCTACTTGAAGTCTAGTCTAAACCACCTCGAGAGATCTCTAGACACTTCCACGTGACCCTAGAGGCAGCTCCCGTAACACTTTGAGCACCATTTCTGCTTCAAGTACCAATTCAATACCAACCGACGATATGACACCCATCAGTGCATCCGCGAGCAGTCAGGCACAAGCACCCGACACCAACGATGTCGAGATGACCGACGCTCCCAAGGAAATTACCATCAACGAAACACTCAAGATTGCCTTACCAGACAAATACCAAGGAAGTCGACAGGAACTCGACACCTTCCTCTTACAACTTGAAATCTATTTTAGATTCAACCAAGACAAGTTCACCGAAAAGGAATCTAAGAGTATTTGGGCCGTGTCATACCTCAGAGGTGAGGCAGGCAAATGGATTCAGCCATACTTGCGCGACTATTTCGAGCATGACGATCAGGATCGCATGCAACCCACTCGAACAATCTTCAACAGTTTTGAAGGATTTAAGACAGAGATACGTAGAATCTTCGGGAACTCTAATGAGCTAGAGGTAGCGGAAGATAAGATCTTCAACCTCAAGCAGACAGGATCAGCATTGAAGTATGCTACGGAATTCCGAAGATATGCGGGAACAACCAAGTGGGACGAAACCGCCATCATGAGTCACTATCGTAAAGGACTCAAGCCAGAAGTCAGACTGGAGTTAGAAAGATCTGCCGAGAGTGTAGACTTGAACGACCTAATCCAGGACTCCATCGAGTCAGATGATCGTCTTTACCGATATCGACAAAGTCAAAGATCATACAAACCCCAGGGAAATCAAAAGCAAGGGCGTTACCGCAAGAATGAGGGTAGACCACGTTACAATCCACAGGGATATGGCGACCCTATGGAACTCGACGCTACGCACCACAAGAGCGGGAATGATGATCCGGAAAAGAAACGAAGACGAGAAAATAACTTATGCTTTGAATGTGGAAAAGCAGGGCACCGAGCAGCAGAATGCCGAAGCAAGAGAACAGGGGGCAAGAAGGGTAACTTTAAGAATAAGTTCGGCAAGGGCCAACTTAATGCCACCTTCACGCCACAATTGTGTGCTGTTAGCATGACAGGGCTAGCCACGCCACCACCAGCTTACGAAGAAGAGCTCGAAGAAGAAGAAGAGGTCGAAGGCCTCTCATGGGTAAACAAAGACCCGCAGTTAGGAGAATCATGGTCTATTCGGGAAATTGACCAATGGAACCGTCGTATCTGGAAATTTGGAGATACAGACGAAGGGACTATGAACGAAGACCTCAGCGTAACAGACGCTGAAGAAGGCGAATCGTATGAGGTTCGGTACGTCGATCAGCATCGAATTCTATGGTTTGGAATCACTACAAACACATCATTCGTAGAAAGAATTAGTACCGATCACCTCCAGTGGCCAGACAGGGGAGAGCTATGGGAAGTGTTCTATCACCACACATCTGAAAGAAATGAGAATCAGGTTCTATTTTTATGCAGAAGAGTAGGAGAAGAACACCGGGTCCAGGCTCAGGCCATAATACCACCACCAGTTGTGGGTACGATAATGAAAGTCACTCAAGGGAACTACCGATACACCCTATGGAGGGACTTACTTGATGACAGAGCTAGATCAGGAACAAGCGCTGTCTATCTAGAAGAGGAAGAGCCTCGACGTGTAACATTTGCCGATGAGATCATCCAGAATAGCGAGAATGAGCAAATTACACCACAGCTAAATGCTACAGGACAAGCAGGTCAAATATACTGCAAGGTCAAAATAAACGGACAAATACAGCAAGCCATGATAGATTCAGGGGCTACAGGAAATTTTATTGCACCAGAAGCTGCAAAGTATTTGGGAGTCCCACTCCAGAAGAAACAAAACCCCTACCAATTGCAGTTAGTTGACGGACAGCTAGCAGGATCTGACGGGAACGTTTCACAGGAGACACGACCAGTACGAATGAATATGACCCAACATTCGGAGGTTATACAGCTTGACGTTGTGCCATTGGGCCAACAACAGATCATCTTAGGAATGCCATGGTTGAAGGCACATAATCCCAGAATAGATTGGTCACAAGGAACAGTGACATTTGATCAGTGCAAGGACGGTCATGACGACACGTTCAAGGCGTCCGCGAGACGTAACACGCGCCAAGGAGAGTTGAACGCGAACAACACCGGCGACGTAGGACACCCAGTCCAGGGTCCTCCATTAAGAGCGAAGGCCAGTACACCTCCTCTACAAATGCAGAAGCCGACGGTACGGCAGGAAATCGCAATCGAGGCAAAAAAGAAGCCTACGATACCAGAACAGTACAGAAAATATGAACAGGTTTTTAAGGAACCAGGGATCCACGAGGCTTTACCGGAACACAAGCCGTGGGATCATGAGATAATATTGGAGGAAGGCAAGATGCCTGTGCACACCCCAATTTATTCAATGTCAGCCGATGAGCTAAAGACGCTCAAAGAATATATCGACGACAACTTGGCCAAGGGATGGATCAGAGAATCCACATCCCAAGTGGCAAGTCCAACTATGTGGGTACCCAAGAAGGATGGTACTAAGAGACTAGTTGTGGACTACAGAAAGCTCAACACGCTTACAAAGAAAGATCGATATCCACTTCCATTAGCTACGGAATTAAGAGATCGATTAGGCGGAGCAACAATATTTACCAAGATGGACCTACGAAACGGGTACCACTTGATTAGAATGAAGAAAGGCGAGGAATGGAAAACCGCTTTCAAGACAAGATATGGGCTATACGAGTATCAGGTTATGCCATTCGGGCTAACCAACGCGCCAGCTACTTTCATGAGGTTAATGAATAATGTGCTATCACAATATTTGGATACTTGCTGTATATGCTACTTGGACGACATCCTAGTATATTCAGACAGCGGAGTTCAACACATTAAGGACGTCAACAATGTCCTTGAAAGTTTAGCTAAGGCTGATTTGCTGTGCAAGCCAAGCAAATGCGA